TTTAAAAATATTTTACAAGAAAAAAAGACAAGGTTTAAGTATATGTGCAAAGAGTAAAAGTCTTAAACAGGTTCTTAAATTTTAAAACTCTGCTAGGTAGAACCTTTTCCACTTCGAAAAGTCTATAACTGTCAGAATCTTATGCCTACTAGTTTTTGGTGTATATCTATTTAGTTATCTATTTGTTTGAGACAGAGACTGTTGTAGCTCAGGCTGGCTTCAAACTCACTAGCTGAAGAGCAGAAGATGAGTTACCAACCTTTCCACTAGCCACTGAGGGCCTGACACTAAAGTGGGTGGGCTAGGATACCAGGTCAAATGAGGCAAGCCGTAGGAGGGCCAAGCTGGAAGAGTTGAACAGGACCTTGAATTCTGTTCCTCCAGTCTCCACTTCCCAAGGGCGAAGACAACCAACACAGGCTTGTGTCAGGACTTTAAAGGCTGGGAGGGTCTTCAGGAGTCTGCTCTTTCTCCCTGAATGGGAGACACAATATTCTCCTCTCGTAGAGAATTTAAACAGTTCCTTCAAGGATGCACGGTTCCTCAGTGGCCTGGGGGCCAGAATCCCAGTTTACTATCAGTGAGTGAACTGTTCTTCCCACTCATACCGTTCAGCTCCTTAAGAAGGAACCATGGTCAAAGCTGGGAAATAGGAAGGCTCTCTAAAGGGTCCTGCCGCTCCCTCAAGCCCTTTTCCTTCAGCTCCGGCTTGGCTTTCCTACCAGCTTTCCTCAATTGACCTGGCATCACAACCCACCCATTTATTACCAGCTCCTCAATGGCTAGTGGCAAGGTCGGTAACTCCCCGTCCGGCTCTTCAGCTCAGCAGGGCAAAGAAAACCTATAGTCTCAACCTGCGCCTGGCACTCCCTGTCTTCACCTCAGTCAGGGGCCCTCTTCTTTCCTCGGATTTCCGTGACTTTACTTCCGCTCACAGCCACTTTCCTCCTTCGAATTCCCTCCAGCCCTCAAGTGTTGTGCTTGGCACTGCAACCAACTCCCACCGTTCTGGGAATCTGGCTCCGCAGGGCCATCCTGGCCCGCACTACCCAGTCCTCGGTCCCTCGGCCGGCAGGGCCGCGCCCCCACCGCCCCCTGCTCGGTGCCACCTCGCGTCCTTCCCAGCAAAGGCAGCCTTCGCGCCCCGTGCCGGCGCGGGAGCCCCTTCCTCACCCGGCGATCACCGCCCCGATGAAGTAGAGCAGCAACAGGCAGAAGGTGCTCAGGTTCTGCGGGGCCATGGTTCTGCGCCGCCGGCTCCCACTCGTTCCTCAGCCTTCCGGCCGCCTCCCGCCGGCGTCTCCTGCCGAGCCGCGAACGCAGCCCGCGCGCACCCTCCTCTGCTGCCACTTCCCGGGAGCCTCGTCCCGGCGAGATGCCCCGCAGGCCAGGGCCAATCGCCGCCGGGGGCATCACAGGCGGCCGCCAGCCCGCGGCCAATCAGCGCCGTACACTTCACCTCCGAGGCGGCGCCGGCAGCCACTCAGGCCGTGGAACGGCAGCCTCAGCTGCAGGCCAATGAGAAGAGGCAACGTCAGAGGACCGCGCCGACCAGAAGCCGTGGAACCGGGACGGCCCAGCCCCCTGCGCGCGCCGCCGACTTTCCACCAATCGCAGGGCTCCTCCGCTAGCGCTGGCCAGCCAATCACGCCTCATCCCAGGTACAGGTCTCCAGCGACGTCGCGGGGGTCCTGGGACGCGCGGGGGCACCGAGGCGGGACCGAGAAGGGCGGGCGGTGACTCCGCGCTGGAAGTACGCGAGGCGCTTTGCTCAGGCGCTTTGCCATTCTACTTTACAGCACAAACCTATTAGAAATTGTCTCGATTTCGTAGACAAGATGCCTGGTACCTTGTAGAGAAGCCACCGTGGAGACCGACTTAAGTTCAGATTCTGCTTCCTGCACCTCGTAGTGGTGAGACCCTCACCCCTGAGCCCCCACTTCCTAGCCGACTTATTTACAGAACTAGGGTAAAGCGCTCACTGGCAGTGTTGGGTTTCGGTTTTGTTGTTTTGTTTTGTCTTTTGAGACAGGGTCTCCCTGTAGCCACGGCTGACCTGGAATTCGGTATGTAGACCAGACTGACCTCGAATTTGCAGAGGTCCATCTGCCTCTGCCTCCCGAGTGTTAAGATCACAGGAGGCGTGCACCACTACTCCCGGCCTCAGCGTTTGGAATTTTTAATAAAAAGAAATTCTGTACGTATTCTAGCACAGTTGCACATAGTAAACACGCAGAAAATAAAAGCCATTATTCTAGTTAGGAGTAAAATTCTTCCGTTGTATGTCCTTTTGCCCAGGTTTGTTTACCACAGAAAACTTTTTTTTGGGGGGGGGCGTTCTCTGGTGTCTGGTTTGCTTCATGTATAATCTGGCCAAATCTTTACTAATGAACTGTATCGAAGTCGCTGCAGCTGCAGTACTACATCTCTGGGCCAAGTCACAATGACCGTTTTCTTGGCAAAGCCCTCCCTGCCTACAGTCTATCTTGATAGGGCAACTATTTTTAAATACCATTTTCACTCCATGATTGTGTGTGTGTGTGTGTGTGTGTGTGTGTGTGCAGGTGTGTGCAGCTTCTTGCATGTGCGCGTGCGCTAGGACCTGGAGTTTGACTAAGCTGGCTGGCCTGCCAGTGAGCCCCAGGGCTCTGCCTATATGGGCCTCCCCAGCGTTGGGATTACAAACTGGTGCCACCGCTTGTAATTGCTAGTAGGGATTATTTCTTGCTTGTCTGGCAAGTAAATGACAGGAGCTTTATGGATTGAGCTATTTTATCTATCTCCCTAGCCCCTCAGGATTTTTTTTTTTTTTTTTTGGTAACCATTTTAAATTGTGTCACTCTCCAGCTTTTCATTGCTCTTAAACTAAAATGCCTACCGAATGGGAATTTACAAAGCCTTATAATGTAATGATCTGTATCCTCGTCTTACTATGTTCAAGAAAAATCAGCTACTTTTCTCCTTTTTAAAAATTTTCATTGTGTGTATTTATTACACATGGTACTACATTATATAAGTACATTGTCATACACGTATATAACGCACACTAAGCATACCTTTTTTTCCTCCCCATCATGTTAGTTCGCTTTGTTCCTCTAAACAGTTTGCTGCTTTCGTGTCATTTATGCATGAGATTTTATGTATCTATATAAAATCTAGGACCACAAATGAGGGAAAACATAGGATTTTTTTTTTTCCTGATTGGCTTAATTCTAATTGATTATCTCTAGTTGTATCCATTTTTCTGGCGACAACATTACTTTTATGGCTGGGAAAAAAAATCCATTTTGTATGTAAACCACATTTTCTTTATCCATTCTACCATTAATAGACATCTATGTTGTTTCCACAACTTAGCTATTGTGAACAGTGCTGCAACAAAATTGCTGCACAACCCTCTGTGTGATAGGTTGACTTAGATTCCGCTGGGGAAATACTCAGGAGTGGTAATGCTAGATCATATGGTAGTTCTGCATAATATATCCAAATCTTTGCCAATGAACTCTATGTTGAGTCTATTTACTACAGCTTAATTACTACATCTTTGGGCTAAATCACAATTATTTTTAGCTTTTTGAGAAACCTGCACACTGATTTGCATAGTGACTACCAGTTTACACCCCCCACCAACAGTCAATAAGGGTTCTCCTTTCCCCATATCCTTACCATCATTTGTTGTCATTTTTCTTAATCACTACCGTTATAACTGGAATGATGTAAAATCTCACTGTAGTTTTAATTGGCAATTTTCTGATGGCTAGTGAGGGTGAACAATTTCTCATGTTTATTGACGATTTATACTTAATCTTTTAAGAAAGGTCTATTCCATTTATTGATTGGGTCGTTTAACTTCTCGTTTTGTTTTTTTGTTTTTTTTTTAGTTCTTTGTATATTGGGTATTGATTCTCTATCAGATGTATAGCTAGAAGGTATTTCCTCCCATTCTGTTTGCTATCTCTTTATTCCATTCATTTTAGTTTCATGGGGTTCCATTTGTCAGTTGTGGACTCTTACTTGGAAAGGTTTTGTCTATGCCTTTATCTTGAAGTGTATTCTCTAATTTTTCCTCTAACAGTTTCAGAGTTTCAGGTCTTACGAAGGTCTTTGATCCATTCGAAGTTGATTTTTGTACAGGGTAAGAGATAAAGATCTAGTTTTATTTTTCTGCATGTGGATATCCAATTTTCCTTTCCCATCATCATTTGTTAAACAAGCTGTATTTTTTCCAGCGTATATTTTTGTATTTTGTCAAAAATCAGGCAGCTGTAGTTGTGTAGGGTTCCATTTGAGTCCTCTGTTCTATTCCATTGATTTCCATGTCTGCTTTTGTCAGTATACCAGTACCATGAGGTTTTTTTGTTACTATGGCTCTGTAGTGCATCTTGAAATCAAGTATGGTGATACTTCCAAAGTATTCTTTTTGCTCAGGATTTGTCTATCAGGATGTTTTTTTGTGCTTCCATATGACCTTTAAAATCTCTCTTTTAAAAAAAATTTCTGTGATGAATGGTATTTGAATTTTGATGGGGATTACATTGACTATGTGGATCACCGTTAGTAGTATAGCCATTTTTGACAGTATTAATTCTTCTAAATCCATGGGCATAGGAGATATCACCATCCTCTAGCATATTTAGCTTTTTTCTTGAGTGTTTTAAAGTTTTCATCCTGTAGGTCTTTCACTTCCTTATTTAGATTTGGTTTATTCAAAGGGTTTTTGTTTGTTTGTTTTTGTATTTGGTTTTTGTTTGGTTTTGAGGCAATTGTGAAGGATATTGTTTTTTCCAATTTCTTTCTCAGTTTGTTATTGGTGTATATGAAGGCTGCCAATTTTTTATGCCAATATTGTATCTTGCCATTTTGTTGAATGTGTTTATCAGAACTAAGTTTCCTGGTGGCATCGTTAGGGTCTCTTACACTTAGAATCCTATTATCCTTAAATAAGAGTGCTGTGACTCCCCTTTACTCTTTGTGTTCCTTTTATTTCCTTTTTCTTGCATTAGTGCTCTAGCTAGGACTTCCAGCACTGTAACTGAATAAGATTGGAGCGAGTGGACACCCTTCTCTCATTCATGATTTTGCTGGGAATATTCCCTCCTCCCCATTTAGGCTAATATACCATATAGCTATAGCTTTTTTCATTGTCTCCTTTTTTTCTGTTGAGGTAGGACCTTCTATTCCTAGTCTCTTTAGGGCTTGTAGATTTTGTCAAAACTCTTTTCCACATCTATTGAGGTGTTCATGCAATTTCTGTCCTTAAGTCTGTTTATGTAATGAATTATGTTTATTGATTTGCATATGTTGAATTGTCCCTGCCTCTCTGGAATGAAACCAACTTGGTTATAGTGAGTAATCTTTTTGATGTGTTTTTTTGTTTTTTGTTTTTTCTTTTGTCTGTTATCACATCATTTATTCTGGCTTCTATTTTCTTTTAATTTATTGAGAAATTCATACATACATATAATGTGTTTTGATCAAATCCACACCCACTCCCTCCCTTCCTACTCCTCCCATATTCTCTCCATCACTTTTTTCTGACAACTTCATGTACTCTTTCTTTTTAGGGGGAGAGGGCTTTTTGCTACTCAAACATTCCCTCCTCTGAAGAGGTAACCCTAAAATCTTCTAGGGGTTAGATAAGAGCTCCCAAATACTTTTGACATTATTGGCCTTTGGAACAGAGTATGTTGCTAAGAGGCCCAAGGATATTTTGACTTTTAGCCAAGAAACTGGTTACTTTTCTTGGGGTCTTTTTACCCTAACTGCCTACCCAATTCCTACCTCTTAGTCTTATCACACCATCCTCTGAAGAGGTTACCCAAATTGTCAATAGGGAATCAGGACGCAGACCACTCTGGCTTCTTCCATGCTGAACAGGGATGCAGGGTGAGGCAATTGGAGTACCCCTTCAGTGGGTCTATCTTAAAAGACTCCAAATTGCATAATTCTTACCGCTAACAGGAAAAGAAAGTCCTTGAATTGTGAATAGGAACTGTGAAGAAGTAAAGGCAAGAGTAATTAGCATTACAAGTTCTAGACCAGGGACTAGAAAAAAGTTAGAACAGGGCAGTTTTAAATTCCATTGGAATTTCTTGACAAGGGCTGCCAAAACCATCGCTCTATTGGCTTCCTCCTCATTTTTCTTTTGTCTTCCAAGGCTGGACTCTAGAGTGATGGATTCAGAATTTGCTTTCAGGTATTTTGATAGCTGTTGGAGTGGTCCAGAATCAGTGTCACTTCTTTCTCAAAGGCTTCTATATAGGGAGAGAAAACAAATTTAGCCATCATTTTAGAACAATATTGGGTTCTCTCCCTTAGCTACAGGTGGGCACAAGAGTATTGCAGACCAAGATTTGAAGTCTTACATTTGAGCAGCACTTTCTGCTTAGAAACTAAATCATCAATGAGAAATAATTGTCTAAATAATATTTTATATGGACTTAAGCCTAATTGTCTGGGAAATGTAATCCCTTGAACTCTTTTTTTAAAAATATTTTATTTATTATTTTTATGTGTATGAGTATATTGCCTGCATGTATGTGAGTGCACCCATGTCATGCAATGCCACCTTGGAGGTCAGAAGAGGGCTTTGGATTCCCCTGGAACTGGAGTTAAGGATGGTTCGTAGCCGCCATGTGAGTGCTGGGAATCGAACCCGGGTCCTCTGCAAGAGCAGTCAGTGCTCTTACCTGCTGAGCCATCATCTCTCCAGCCCCATCCCTTGAACTCTTAAAGAAACATACTGATGACTATACTCTTTGGTTATATTTTCATTTTGGGTGTGTGACTCACCACAGTTATAGGACACGTTGAGAGATGTTCCATAGTCCCCTGGAACTTAGTTGACTTTGGAGGGCAAGGGGCAAAAATTGTCCTTTAAGTCCCTCTCACCAGAGTAGTATAGGCCTCAAAG